GTCCGTCACTGATAACACATCGATGCAAATAAGGGTGCACTTTTTCCTGAGGTTATGCTATGCACCTGCTTCAATAAAAAGGACAGGCAGTTCAATTTAGGAGTGGAAATGGTCTGACATAGAGTCGCTAGCTGGTGATTTGTTCTGTTTCGTTTTACACGGTTTGAAGCCTGCTAGTGTTTAGCTACGTATAGCAGCCAGCAAAAGTACTTCTCAAGCAACACAAAGGAATGCAAAAGTAATGCTTTGGCATGGTGACTTTAATACACTTTAGTTAAACCTCTCCTGAACTTACGTGGTCTGTTGTTTGGAGATTTGTGTAGCCAGGTATACTTCAAAGTTCCTCGTCTGTTCTCAGATCACACGGCTTGGCTGCTGTTTGGGAACAAGACGTACAAGCCAACTGCGCATGTGCGAGATACACGCCCACCTTTGATTGGTCCTCTGGTTTCACAGCAAACAGCAGGTCGTGAATACTGAAATGAAGGCAGTCAGTTATTAATTTAACCTCTTCGACTCCTCACGTTTCTGTGGCACTTATCACAACTAAACACATGCCTTCTCTAGAAAATAATCAAAGCTGGAAGGAGTACTCAGATTTTTCACCAGTGAAAAGTTGGAGAAGAAGCTCAAGGGCACATCGGCAGGACGTGAACTGTCACCTCTCCAGCTACCAGTCCAGTGTAAAAATACTTAGCTTCAAGTAAAAGTCCTGCATACAAAATCTCACTTGAGTAGGAGTACAAAAGTATTGGCATCAAATTATATTTAACGTACCCAGGGCTGGCCCTGACCAATTTGCTGCCCTAGGCAAGATCTTAACTGGCGACCCCCACTCCCAAAATGCAGACACTCACTATGACGGTTGTGGCATGACCACCAAAGCAGAAAGATATGGACACAAGATGTGTGCAACTGTATTTAGTATCCTATCCATTTGAACATGATTTAAAGGTGACCTATCATGCAAAATGCACTTTTGTACGTCTTTTATACATGAATATGTGTCCCCTGTGTTCCAGGGAACTCACCAAGTGTCAGAAAACACAACCCTCTCTATTTTCCTCCATACCCAAATCTCTTACAAAGTGGCTGCAACGGATTTGATACAGACTGATCCAGATTTGAACACTTCTATGACGTCACAGAAGTGGCGCTACGGCTATTGGGCCAACTCCACCAATCAGCCTTTACCTCACTGAGGTTATCAGAGCAGGAGAGAGCTCTCTAAAGCTCTCCCCCTGCGGCCGCTCACACAGTAAATTCCAATGTTAATAAAAGCACACAGAAGCTGTATACGTTTTTTGGGAGTTTGATTTATTTTAAATTAACACAAATACAAAATGAAAACCTATAATTGCACACTAAAACCATTATTTAAAAAAAAGAACTATTTCACATAAACCTCTTGATTTTACTGGGGCTGGGGCGGTTCAACTTGATTTTTAACTTGAGTTTGGGCACTGTACGTAATATAGGCGTAGTTATGTTAGTATAAGATAATAAGATGTACTTTGTTGATCCAAAATCGGGAAATTGTGTTGTTTCTCCCCAATTTTCGACGCCCCCGATGCATTCGCCTATACTGCTATATGCCAAGGGCCGGCCCTGAACGTACCAAATGTAAAAGTACACTTTGTGGGTATCCCATTTCAGGGAGTGGAGTAGAAGTATAAAGTAGCATACAATGAAAATACTTAGGCTAAAAGTCCCCCAAAATTAAACTTAAGTACAGTACTGGAGTAAATATACTTCATTACATTACACCACTGGAAATAATGGAACTTGATTGCACTCAGCTTGTGGTGCCTGTAGGGTTAAACAAAGAGCTTTAGTATTGCACTTCCATAAAGTTGGCGCAGTACCAGGAGACTGTTTTTTAAAAGAGTGGACAGTATCTGAGCAGGAGACACTGAGATATCTTGACTTTTTGGTTTCAAGAACTGGATCATCTGACATGAACAGGGTACGTTTTTTAGACTTTAGAAAGGTCTCCTCAGGGCAGAGGTATTTTCAAACTGTTTTATTTCACAGTCTAAGATTCGAGATTCAAAGTCTTTAATGTCATGCACAGTAGCTACAGTGTAGAAATGGCAATGAAACTCTTAAGTTCCAGGCTCCTCCAACATTGCAAAATAGTTATATAGCACATGAAACAATACAAAGAAATAAAGAAATTCAAATGGAAACATTTTTAAAGTTCAAGAAGAAACAGGATAGAATAGATTAGAATAATATTGTGATGATTATATTGCAGACCAATGTGCAAGTAATGCAGATTAAGTCAACTATATTTCAGGAAAATAAATAAATACAATAAGCTAAATAATGCAGAGAATGTTGTAAGTGGCTATGTAAATGCAGGAGTCTTCGTACATGTAAATAGAATCAGATGTATACAAGGACAGTCCACCATCTATAATTAATGTGAAAAGTAGATGTGAAATGCAGAAGTCCCTCTCACATGGTTAAAGCCTCATATTACCGGAAACATTACGACGCCTAATGGTTTAATTAGACTCCTAATTTAATTGTCACTAGTCATGTTTTAGACAATATGGGCATGGAGATAGATGTCCATGGTGCTTTGAAACATTGGCCATGACTTAGAATAAAATAACACCATAAGGTATGACTAGAGCACCCTACATGTTGACCCAAGAAATCCAATTTGACTGACACCGAAAGTCCACCGTTTCAAATCAATATTTTGGATCACTGAAAACTAAAGGCTGTTGTCTGCATTATGGCTACATTGTCCACCTGTCAAGTTGAACCTATATCGGAGACAAAAAAAACAAAAAAGCAAGAGGCTCAAATGGGATTTCTCTGTATGTCTGTCATCCTCTACTCAATTTATAATTCACAAAGCCCACACAAAGAGAAGCAGACAGACAGGGAGTGACAGTAAGAACATCCCTAACAGTGTGTGTGCTGTGATTGTTGTTGCTTTGCGACGTGAGGACGACACAGTCTCTGATCATGTCACCAGATCAGTGGCACCAGTGTTCTCAGAGGAGCTGAACAGACACAGCGATCAGATGGAGAGCAGTGGAACATAAATACAGAATCCTGGCCATATGGAGGGAGGTCCTATACACTAATTAGGTACATGTAGATTTATATGAGCACACGAAGAAAGCTGTAAAGACTTACAGTATGGGTTGACTTAAATTAACACTAACATGTGTTTTTTTACCAGCATAAAACCTCACCACTTTTCAGAAGCCCTTAGAGATAAGTAAGTTTGAAGCAAGGACAGGAATCCTTTATCCGTAACGAATACAAGTCAGGCTGAAGGAACTGTCAAGCTTCACTGCGAGTGACCCAGTGCACATGGGACGACTCTTATTGTTGAAAGAATAAATTGAGGTGGAGGGGCAGCCTGCCACAATCAATAAGGAAAATCTCTGTTACTGAGTCAATCAGTGAGGCAATTATTGCACCATTAAATATAATCCCACCACAAGAATCCAAGGATCCCATGTCATGTTTCTCCATTCACTATAGTTCTCAGCTGTGATGGTGAAAGACGACTCTAAAACTCCAGGGTATTGCACAGACAAGGGTGGAGGGAGACACTGTTATTGAAATCACTAAACGTTTTTTAAGTGCGCGACAATGGGTTTTCCACGTGGCTAAAGCTCCTATGTTAATGTCTAATTTAAAGTGACAGCGTGTTACATGTCCTTAATTATCTGGCGATGTTCCTGTTACATCTGTGCGAGGCGAGCAGTCTACAGGTCTGATGAGGTGAAGATATTTCAAACAGATTCAATGAAGATGGAATCACATGCAAATGTTTTTATTTAAGATATTTTTTCAAGAATCTGAAAGTTGTTTCAAGGTAACTGCTTGGTACATAATTGTATTACCTCGGAAATGCTCTGTGCACAATATCACAGTCAGCCTTGAGACATCTCCTGACAATCTTTTCACAATCCTCTTCAATATTTGCTACATTATATGAGGGGAAAAGGCTCTAGACACACAATGTAACCTGATCCCTTCAAACCCCAGTGGAAATGAGATAATTCAGGTGAATGACACCCAGAATACTAAATATTGATTGAAATTCCCAACCGAACCCTATTCAAATGTACCACAATTGAATAATCTCAGAGGACATAAAGGGAGCACACAGAAATTAGTTTGAGAGATGTGTGTTTTTCCAGGGAATCAAATAAAGCATGCAAGTAGGGCTTGTTGCACAACAACACAACACCTCAGTTATATGCTCATGTTATTGCTGAAATTACATCAGTTGTGACATGATGCCAAATAAAGCAATATATGAGGATTTGCTTTACAATCGTGAATTGTTCCAAAGTTCATTCAAAGTTGTATGAATACGAATACAACAAGTGTTAAGCCTGCCTGGAAATAAAGTGAATGATAAATGCAGATAAAACAGGAAAGTGCAATAAATCAGTGACGTTACTCTTGTGAGTTGGCTCTTTAAAGGACATTCTGTGATATTGAATTACATTTATTCTGTATATTCTACTGTGCACTGGAAATGAAATCACAAAGAGCCCTCGTTTAAATATGTGATCTGCAAAGTGCAGGTCTCCGGTGACAGTCCCTGGCACTGATGTGGACGCTGACACTGTCTGTGTCCTGTAGACCTGCCTCAGGAACGCACTGTCGAGCCACAAGATGCGCACTAGGAGCTACAGTTTGGGAGGAGCTTCGGGATTTTCCCCCTTGTTTCACGCCACTTTGGAGTGAAGACTCGTCTGTTAAGGGAGATATAGGAGAAAAGGTGAGTGCATAACTACGTGGATAGCGCTTATTTTGACTTTAAATGTGTGTTCCGCGGTTGCTTTATTGAAAAAAAATGTATCCCTGAGGAAATAGATATTACATTCTCTGTTATTCTGCTCAGCGTTAGTTGATAAAACTGTTATATGTGCTTAATTTGGATATGAGAGGAACATTTCAAAAGGAACAAGTGTCCAAATTGCGTACCACAGGTGATCATTGGTGTTGAAGGCAAACGATTTGCAGCTGTCTAGTCGGTGGAAAAAGCTTCGAGAGCTCACTTGGAGATATTTGAATGCGCACTATTCAGTAAGTTAAACAAATGGCGACAAATTACGCACGACATCAATGATATTTGATTGGGACATTAAATATCTCATTAGAATGTCATGGCAGTGCGTATAATTCAGTATAATATAACATTCAGTTGAATTGCTCCAGCAGGTGTATCATAAAACGTTACTCAGTGCCACGAGCTTTGTTAAAGTCATGTATAACCTTCGCTGATCAGAAAGGGTGGTTTGACAGATTCCCGATGCATTGTGAAGTGCACATGTCGCCTGCAGTCTCTATGTTAAATCCCTGCTGCCGGCTGGTGTGTGACTGTCTGCTCCGCGGATAGAAGACAGGTGTATGATTTTGGGCTCATTGGCACTGCACACTGTAGGCCTAGTTGTCATTAAATATAAGTGGTCCCTAATAGATTGAGACTCATTACACACATTAGTGTGTGTGTGTGTGTGTGTGTGTGTGTGTGTGTGTGTGTGTGTGTGTGTGTGTGTGTGTGTGTGTGTGTGTGTGTGTGTGTGTGTGTGTGTGTATTTTTCACCATGAAGACAATTGCAGAGAGGACCATTTGATTAATGTAGCTTCTAAAATAATATTAATAATAATAATAATAATAATAATAATACATTGTATTTATCAAGTGCTTTACCTCAAATATGACAATAGATGAACCCAACAATACAGCCAAAAAGGATTTACTCTCTATTGTCTTTGATGAAATTCTTATTTGTGAATACAATACTGAAAAGGCAAAATGTGTCTAAAAGTGTGTCAAACAATATGCTACAAAATCTCCAGAGCAACAAAAAAATGTCTGTCACCAAAGAAACCTCTCACTGTTGTTCTGTTTGTCTCTGTGTTTCCATTAGAAACAACTTGAAAACTGTTAGCTTCTAAATGTGTTGAATTAGGCATATGAGCACTTACAATCTTAAAAAGTGTTCCGTTTTGAACAGTTATATCAAAGTCATTTAGATTTGTTGAAAGCCTCTGGCCGATTCTAATGTCACTAAATGTAAAAAGCCTTTATTTGGTTAATGAGGATGCAGCAATTTAGCAGTCAAGAGTCAAAATTGAGACTAGTTTTAACACATGCCATCACAAAATGTTCTGTCTGTATTCAGCATGGAGCTCTCAGTCTCTTGCAGGTAAATGGACAGTAATGACAACATAATCAACTATAGAAAGTACTGAAGAGAAAGAATATCTTTTATACTAAAATACGGCTGTCTAACATGGGTCAGCACGGACCTTTATGCAAGTAATTACCACACAGTATTCCCTTTATGAGCTGCCGACTGAGTCTGAAGGCAGTCGGCAGCTCTAATGATGTAGCTTTGACTGACATCTTCTGATCACATTGCTTCCTTCATCATCTTCCTTTAGCCTTTATCATGGCACAGGTGTCTCTCCCTTGGAGAAACAGTGAGCTGTAAAAAAAAACAATACTTGTACCCAGGCCATGGTGGATGCAATAGATCTAGTTATCATTATTATGGGAGGCACACATGTGTACAAAGAGAGCCATTTTCTTCTATTTTTCTTAGCTTATTCAGAATGTCCACTTCCTTAATGAAAAGCTGTTTAATTGTTCTATTAGGCTGCATGCATTAGAGAATGATCATATCTCCTATTTTGGCATTTAATTGTTTTTTATTTAATTACAAAACGGTTTTAATAACCATGAGACATTTACAATGCAAACTACCCTTTCCAGGTAATATGAAAATAATAATGAAACGGTTCGGTATGTGATCTTTTTTTCAGGTTGCATTTCATTTAATTTCAAACCTTTATTTATCCAGATTGTCCCTTGAGATCATAGATCTCTTTTTCAAGGGAGACCTGCAGCAATTAGGTTCCACATGAAACATAAAACAATAAAGGACATCATACAACATATTTACAAGCTACATTTACATACTTATCAACATTAGAGGTTGGGGTTTGTCAAAGCTCTAGCAGGTGAGATGTCGACCCTGAAAATACATTTGAATGACTGGAAGTATCGTACAACATAAAGAGAAGAAGAGAATATTCGAGGAATCATTAAGTAGATAACAAAAACAGCACGGCAGCACCGTAGAAAGCCTGGGAGCATTTCACAGCAAGGTACATCCGGCTTTTTCAGGCAAAAATGAGAGGAACTCTTAGTCTTTTGGTAAGTGGCAGCCAATGAGGGATCATGTTACTGCTTCAGAAAGTCATACTTGTTGTTTGGGACATCTGCACAGAGGGGGGCACATAGGAAGACATGTGTATCCTAAAGCGATATTTGCAGTGACAAAAAACATTTGGAATTCTAAATTGGAGAGCAAATGTTGGAAATAAAATAATTACCTCATAGCTCAGGCCTTTTTTTACATTTGACATATTATTTTCAAAGGCTTATTATTCAGGCTAGATTGTGTCAATAATTACATTTAATGGGGTTTCCTCTCCTCAGGTGTCTGCACAGCCTAAATCTATCATCTGACGACAGAATGAGCCCTCCAGACACATCCAACAGCACGAGCGAAGGGGAGGCTGGTGAAACAGATCCCTGGTTTCTTCTCAACAACAGCATGGGTTTACACACACCAGGTTTCCACACAGACATCACCAAGCACATTGGAGTCCAGATCACCCTGATCGCAGCATATTCCCTAATCATTCTGCTAGGGCTTATGGGAAATGCTCTTGTCATCTACATGATCATTCGCTACAGAAACATGCGAACAGTGACCAACTTCTTCATAGCAAACCTGGCCCTAGCAGACCTCCTGGTGGACACCCTCTGCCTGCCCTTCACTCTGGTTTACACTCTGCTGGATGAGTGGAAGTTTGGGGCTGTGTTGTGCCACATGGTGCCGTTTGCCCAGGCCCTGAGTGTGCATGTATCCATCCTGACCCTCACTGTCATCGCTCTGGAGCGATACCGCTGCATCGTCTTCCACCTTGGCCGGCGCCTTACATGGCATTCCAGCTTTCTCATCATGACACTCACCTGGACTATGTCAGCAATCCTGGCAGCGCCCCTGGCCATCTTCAGAGAGTACCGCCATGAAGAGATCCCTTCCATCAACCTGCGTATCTCCGTCTGCTCTGAGAAGTGGCCCCACGGGACCAGCAGGGACGGGGTCATCTACAGCCTCTCAATGCTGCTCCTGCAGTACATCCTTCCCTTAGCCATCATCAGCTATGCTTACATCTGCATCTGGGTCAAACTGAAGAATCATATCAGCCCGTCCACCCGTAGTGACAGCATCAACCGCCGCAAAAAGACCACCAAGATGTTGGCGCTGGTGGTGGTGGTGTTTGCTATTTGCTGGCTGCCATTCCACGTGTTTCAGCTGGCCAGTGATCTAGACCTGGTGCTCAGGTTTAAGGAGTACAAACTCATATACACAGTGTTCCATATCATTGCTATGGGTTCAACTTTTGCCAATCCTGTCCTGTACGGGTGGATGAATAAAAACTACAGGAATGGCTTCCTAATGGTGTTTCGTTGTGAGGATAAGCCAGATGCTTTCAACCCCGAAGGCTCCTTCAGGACACGCTCCTTAAGAAGGCTGACTCTGAATGGCCGTAATGGTGGACATCCTCCAACTGCTGTTTGAGATTAGCACAATTTAAAATGCCTGTAGGATGTGACTGAACACATTTAACGCACCTCCGGTTTGTGGTGCTTGTGGTTGAAAAGCAGCCTTTTGACTTGAATTGATTATGAGTATATCTGGGACTAGAGAGGGCTTGGAGCTTTGCATGCAAATTGCTTTATGTAAGGCCTTTCTTTCCTTTGTGAATGGTACTAGTTAAAACACATCTGTCTAACCTGTTCAAATACGTGATTCGGATGTTTACTAGGCTGTTAGAAAACTACGTACAATATAATATGTGTCTCCTGTAACTGCAGAGCTGTTGTTGATAAGTTATGTCCAATTAATAATGCATTCCATTGCAAACATTGCCTGAAGCTATTATTGTGTCCATACCTACTGAAGGGAAAAAGGTTAATATTGTGAACAAGTTTGTTTTTCTCACTCGTTCTTCTATTTGTTGAGTTTCACATATGCTGCATTATGGATTCACTCAAAAGTCCTTGTAGAGTAACATTCAATTTCCGCCCATGTCCATCCAGAGGAAGTGTTGATCTGTCCAACCAGGAAGTTAATTGTGTTCACCTGGCAACCAGCTGTTCTCGATTAGACGAACCAGCTGTCTCCAAAGGAATAAGATCGAAAACCACTGAACTGCGTGAAGTGGGACTTTTTGGTATTTTCGTCACATGTGTGCAGCTGCTTTGAGGATATGTAGAAAAAGGGATTTGGATGAAGAAAAATCATGCAATTATACATTCTACATGCTGCTCAAGTGACCTTTGTGGTGGTCTGTTAATAATAAACACAAGAACATTAATCAACCACACTGCCTCTGATATGAACACCCGCTGTATACATGACTCATCAGGAGAAGAAATGATATGTGTTTAAATTAAGAAAAGTTTGGATGAGAGGATTAAGTTAAGAAAGTCGAATATAAAACTCAAAATAGTGGCATATTCTGAAATGTTTTCAACACAGCTACCATACATGGATTACTCTCGGGGTCTGTGCCGTGGGGTATACACCCTCCATACGGTAATATAGGAGGGATCAACTTTCCATGAACGACAGCTAAGAAAATCCATATATAGGTGGGAAGACAGTCCACACAGAGGGGGAAAAAATAAGCATTTGCAGAAATAATTTAAATGAATCAAAGTCCTGCACAAAACATTCAGACTTCATTTTGAAAAATAAAAAGAACTAGTGGGTCCAAATAACATCAAATAAAGTATTTGTTGTAGTATTTAACACCCAACTGCAGTGTGATTCATTTCAGCAAAGAAAACATGTATTGATTTTGTACTGCTGGTTCTTGACACCCACATTACTAATGCCCTAGTTTAGCCTATGTTTTTTATTTATGTACTGTAGATAATTATAGAAATTCTTAGCCTTAATCGAGACTACTAGCAAATACAAATACTGAGCTTACACCCTTGGCATCAAACCGTTTGGGCATTAGAGCTCATGTGTGAAGATTTGGCTGCAGTCTGGAGATGTATTCAGGGATGGTTTTAATATGCGTAAGAGATTATGCATCTGTCCTAAAGTATAGCATGCTGAAGAGGATATATCTCCAGAAATAGCAAGACATGTTCATATTAAAAAGATAGTTCACCCAAAATACACAGTTTCCGTTTACCTGTAGAGTTATTTATCAATCTAGATTGTTTTAATGTAGCTATGCATTTTTTAGTTTGAAGGGAGAACTGTCCTTTTAACCATAGCATTGTTAAATATTTGAGTTGAAGGGAGATTGTACGGATGCCACTTTTAAGTTTTGGGGAAAAATTACATGATATTTGACCCCAAGATTCCGATCAAAATCTACATTTCAGGTAACAAATCCTTTCTCACGCTGTAGTGCATTTTGCACGGTTACCTGCTTCCCTCTAGTGTTCAAACTGGATATTGCATCGTCACCACCTACCGGATATGTCGTCTTCGTTTGACCTTCTCTCCAGTTTCACATGATTTGTCGGTGGCTGCCATGGTGGCTGCACGGTGAAATCCATGCCGACAGGAGTATAACATGAAAATACCCAACTTTTGAATGTTGTCGCCTTAAAGGTAACCACCTTTGCCTTTAGGAATGAAAGCAGCAATTTACTTTTTGAATGTCGATTAATGAAATCAATGTCTTTGCCATTCATTCATAGAGACTGCTTCATGCTAGGCTAGCTCATGCTAACTAGGAAGCTTTGCAGTGCGGACGTGACAAATGTGACATACTTTATATCTGATTTTAGCTACTCACTGTTTGGATATTCATTTGTTTGTGCTCATGATGGTCGCTCAAGGCTTATTTTGAGCAGTTTCAGTGTGGTATTTAAGAAGTATTATTTGAAAGACAGCTGTCATGTAATAATAATAATAATAATAATAGATTTAATTTGTTAGCGCTTTTACAGGTGCTCAAAGACGCTTTACAGATAATAGTGAAGAAAGAAAGAAAAGAGAAGAAAGGAACAACAAATAAATATATAGTTAAAGTTAAAGTCAGTAGTAGTCTGAAAAGTTCTGGAAAACGTGTGTCTCTGCTAACGGTGGGATGTATAACAGATGTAAAACATTTAAACAAACCTATGTAATACAATAAAACTTTTTTTATTTAGTTTAATATGACCTTGTCTACATTAATGGTCAATTGGTTAAAACAAACACAAATGTTCCCGAATCTTCGAATCTGCTGTCCAGTGAATTCCGGGCTCCCGTTGTATTTACCTGAGCTGCGTCCTGCACTGTTGTTGGAAAGCTAGTTACATAAACGTATGAAACTCACAGGCTGTATTCTGTGTCTCCACAGCGGGGCCACAGTAAACACACGGCACCATGGTGAAGTATTACTGCTGCGCAGGTATGCTCAAAAGCAGCTGGGACCAAGTCTGTGTTGCTTTCTGGCAACGATATCCCAACCCTTACAGGTGAGTGATATGAGTCTGAATTCAGTGTTTCCTCTGCTCCTTGCATACTCTGATCTATCCAAATTGCAAAGCATGAAGGGTTGGGATTATGTGTCTACATTTCTATACTCAAAGTGGTGAAAAGTAACTGAAGTGTATTTAATCTAGCAGTGTTCTTAGGTATAGGATTTAGGTAATTCACTAGTATTTTAGGGTACTTAACACTTTGAATCCACTACAGTTCAGATGCTTGTTTATTATGTTTTTGCACATTGATTATTAGATAAAATATGTAATTCTGTGATGTGATATAACATAATTCTGTCATCTGAGGAGAAATGTCATCTTTAACACGTTAAGTCCTTCTGTATGCACATAATTCAGAACTTCTGCTAAAGTAAGATGATTAATTTTAGACTTTGACCTGTAATAGAGCATTTCTATATTAGGATGTTGCTATTTTACTGTGAGTAAAATACTGAGTGATTGGTGTATGATATTTGCATTCCTTTAGGTTACTTATTTTCATATATGTGCTTGCATAGATTAAACAATATTATTTAATTGAAGAAAAATATACTTTATTATAAGCCCACAGAGGTTTTGTATTGTTGTGATCCTTATCTTCTCCTTCTCTCCCACAGTAACCATGTTTTGACTGAAGACATCATTTTCCGAGAGGTTACTCCAACAAACTGCCTCGTTTCCAGACGTCTCTTGACCAAAACAAACCGAGCACCTCGCTGGATGGAGCCCTACCTTCCAAAGCAAATGTCCAGCTCGGCATATATCATCGAGGACTCTATTGTGGACCCTCAGAAAAGGACCATGACCACCCTCACATGGAACATCAGCCACGCTCGACTCATGGTACCACAATGTTTGCTTTCACTCAGCATGGCACAAAGTAACAACAGCCTCGTGATCATTTGTTTGTTTTTTTCTCTCTGTTACAGTCGGTTGAAGAGCGGTGCAAGTACTATATTAACCCTGAAAATGGCAGCTGCACTGAGATAAAGAGAGAAGCTTGGATCTCTACCACCATCTATGGGCTCTCAAGAGCTGTTCAGGTCAGTAGAGTAAACAGATCAGGGAAAGTGCTGAGGGGGTCTGAAAGGAAGACTAACCCATCTAACTTTTCATTAGGTAACATAACACATAGTGTTCAGATGTACTAGTTGAGCAGCTGAAGCTGTCTGAAACTACTTAGGTTCCTGATTGATTTATCACAGAGTTAAGTAGTGGAGCCTCGCAGATGGGGGTTTCTGCAGCCCCCTCAGCATCCCCCCCTTCCCGCGTCCATTCGCGATGTCTCGCTGTCTCGCAGACCCCACGCAGCAAGCAGGAAATGAACCCAGCTCACACTGTCCGCTCCTCGCAGCAGTGAGCCGCGCAACGTCCCGCCAACACGGCACCCAGACCCCACGCAGCATTCTCCTCTGTTTGTCCTTACTGGTGTCCCTTTCTGGTTGCTAACGCCATTGTAACACATAATCACTGATTTTCCGCTGTAACGGTGGTGGATTCATCAGAACAGAGTGGGCGAGCTGACCAATCAGAGCACAGTGGGCTCACAGGGAGGGGGGGGGGCGGGGCAGGAGCTCCAACAAGCCGTCTAGGACAGAGAGTGAATACACATACTATACAGAGATGCTATATGAGAAACCAATGTGAGTTTGGAAAATTGCATTTTTTTAAAATTAATTATTAAATCTATTCTAGTATACCTCAACAATGGAATTATGATCAGTAGAAATGGCCATGACATGGGACCTTTAATTATTTTCAGACATGGTAGTACGTGTGCCGATATGAGGTGTAGGTTGTTGACACAAGACTTATGTTAAAGTGCTTTTTAAGTGTTGGCTGACTGTGTTCTCTTTCCAGGAATTTGGTCTTAGAAGGTTCAAGAACAGTGTAACAAAGACCATGAAGGGCTTTGAATACGTGTTGGCCAAAATGCATGGTAAGTTGTCAGTTATAATACAATGCATTAGCCGCATGAATAAAAGCATCGCTAATTATTTTTGGAAACACCTGTTATTTTCCTGCAACGACAATTCACAATATCTGCAATGAAAAGGAATAATTAAGAGGTACAAGTGCTCTGATGCTAGGTATTTTGTTAAGATTCAGTTTAACAGATGTAAAGTAAAAGATGGAAACTTTGAGTAAAATAAAAACTGGATTATGCTCTTTAAGCAATCTTATCAGTCAAGTCTAAGAACTGGCCATTTGGGTATAGCTTTCCTGCTGTTTAAATCCATGTCATAGAACTTTTTATTAAAAAGTGTATATATTTAGTTTGGATGTAATGGGGGCGGGGCCATACTTGTCCAACTAATTGTTCATTTAAAAACTGTTAACAAATCAAGGCTATTCACTCATTGGATATTTGTCAAGTTCAATTTGTAAGAAGACAGTTTTATGTGTTAAAATAACAAAAATGCACAATATCAGTCTCTACTGCGACAGTTTAGTCATTCCAAAGTTAAGGGCTTGAATACATGAGGATAACATAGTTTGATATTTAAAATGTATCGGCATTCGTGGAGTATTGTTGACAAAAACCCTGTGATTGACACACAACAAATCTAAAAGTCGGTGCACATTAGTAATTAATGTTCTTTATTACACAATTCAGAACAATGAAGTGTTATCGTAGGTTTTCCTGCGCTACATAAATATCTATACCTTAGCCTTATTATAACATATGTCCTATTTTTTAGGTGAAACTCCATCAAGAACCTTAACAGAGACGGCTACGGAGCGAGCGAGAGAGACGGCCCTGGCAGCTAAGGAGAAAGCCAAAGATCTGGCCTCCCAGGCTCAGAAGAAACAGTATGTGTGATGAGTCGATCACCGGTTCTTTACCACTGATACTAGGACAGATTTATCTATACCCTTTTGTTTAGTTGAGCATTGGGGTAAGACAAACTGATCCCGGGTCATTGGGTAGACACCTGACCTCTATGAGGAAGCATCGTGAATGGTGGTTGGACCATAAAAGGGCCTGAGCTGGGTTCAAGAGCCTGTTCCAGCCTTCTAAAATATATTGTACTTTTGATACCAGATCATCTCAGTATTTACCGTAGATAGAGATCTCAGAGGAACGGCTGAATATGGCTCCAGGTGCCATAAAACAATAATAGCACTTCGCCAACCTTGATGCCGTTCATCAGACCTTTGCTCAACCTCTGTGCCCTTCATCAACGTTTACTTTTTGTTCT